CAGAGCCTGACACGGGGCTTGAACTCACGGACCGCGAGATCATGACCTGAGCCGAAGTCGGACGCTTAACCGACTGAGCCACCCAGGTGCCCCACTACTGTATGTTTTCATACAGTAAGAAGGCAGACGCATTCAACTGTCATTGATTTTTCAATAGGTGTGGTCACTCCTGTCAGAGAAAGCCGTCCATATACCTTTCAGAACCCAACAAATCACAAGAAGACACATTTCCACCGAATCTTAGTTCAATACTTCCAACGGCAAACCACTTTCTGGAGGGTATTTGAGGAGCTGCCGTGGCATTTGAAAATGAGTGGCTCCTGGGGGGGGTTTGTGCAGCTTTCTGTCAAGTCCTAGGTAAGACGTGTCCTCTTCATGTGGCATTTGGGCAGATTTCGTTCCTCCTTCGCCAAACACTGTGTTTGGATACCCATGGCTCCTTTCAGCAGGGCACGTTCATTCACTTAGTCGTTCGGCAACCCGTTCGTTCATTCGGATGGGCCCATCATTCGGCACCAGTTTCTGTGGCTGATGGATTCCCAGCGTTGCTCCATTGGATCGTCTGGCTCTGCAGTGTTCTCTTCCCTTCTTGAATCCACATGGATTCCTCTCAGAGAGGAGGATTCCAGAGAGAGAAGGACTTGTAGTTGGGCAAGGACAAAGGATTGGCTATATTCTCCTGCCGGACCCACCTAATCTCCTCCCTTTCCTTTCTTCTCCCTCCTCTCCACCCTTCTCCTTCTCTTCATCTCCCCTACTTTCTTGTCCTCTTATGTACCCCTTTGGCAGACGTGTATCATTGACCCACTCTGTCTCCCATGTTCTTGGAGGCCCCGGGGATGCAGGAATGAGTGAGATCTGGCTCTATCTAGCTGGGCAGATGTGGAGCCAGAGAAGAGCTACACATGGGGAACAGTGCTTCACTAAAGCAAAGACCCAGAGCTGGGCACGCTCGGGACAGGGAGGGGCTTGCTCTGCCTGGTAGATTCGGGGAGCCTGCCTAGAGGAGGGGCCTCCTGGACAGAGACGCGGCAATGGCTTTGACTGCTTAAGAGGGACAGGTTCACATCTGTCTGGTGACCTACCAAAGTCGTAGTGGTCAAGGAGTTTATGAATAGGCTAATGGAATGGGGCAAATCGAACAGCTTCCTTCAAGGCATGAAATACTAAAATGACTCACATGAATTCATTGTGTTACAAGTATCACAGATTCTGTATCGAAGATCCAAAACCTGAGCTTCTGGACATGGCTGCACCTCATCCACTACTGGAATGTGTTAGCAGAAGTCGGGTATGATGCTGCTGGGGCCTATTTACTCACAGTGGCCAAGGTTAAAGCTGAGAAGTGCCATAAAATGAGGAAGAGACATACACCGTCCGGTACAGTGAGTAGCTAGGTTTCCATAGTCCATTTCACTGGGATGTTAAGTGGCCAAGAGTTACTGTTCTCCCGTTTCCTCATCTAATTCCAATCACTCCAACAGACCTCCCTGTGTGTTCCTACCCACAATGTAGGCCACCAATTTCTGAAGCTAGGAAATGGGGGGGAAAGTGTTAATTCTGAAATGGCTCCTTTGTATCATCTTGCTGTGGCTGTTTCCTATGCATTTTTTTCTTTCTCTATTTTCTCATGGCTTCAACCACACTGCTAACATCTCCCTCCTTGATCTGCATTTGCAGCCTTGATGGCCTTTTGGAAGGTCGGTGTACGTGACCCCTTTCCTGAGAGCCACCAACAGTGTTGCTCCTCGATCAACAGCTTTCCTGAGTGACCAGCTGGGTAGTTCAGATGACATAGATGCAAATCCGAATTATTTCGGATACTCCCTCCCAGCTTGTTCTTTCCGTGTTCCCTCCATCTGCTCACAGTGCCCCCAGCTCCCTCCGGTGCCCCTCACTCGGCCCTGGAGACACGCCATTGCTGTCGAGGACGGCTTCGATCTGAATTGCAATGGCAGTACTTGGACTTGCTGCCTAAGGGCTTGGATCTGGACAGCACTTTGGCTCATATTTCTTCCCTTTCTCCCTTGCCTGTCTCTCTCTCTCCCCCTGTATTTCCGGGCTCACTAAACAGTAATAACATTCATTCATTCTTTCAACAGATAGTAACTGCGCACCTTCTCTGAGACATCGGACTCACTGCTACTGACATCATCAGTGAACTAGTTCAACGAATTCAACACTAGCTCAAAAATGACCCCTGCTCTCATGGTTTTGCCGTCTAGTGGTCATAATAACAGATCTTGAGCATTTGTCACGGGCCAGGCTCTAAGTTCAATTCTTTATATGTCTTTTGCTTGATTCACGTCAAATCTCTGCAGTCCTGCTAATGCCTTGGTTGAAACTCAGGAAACTGAGTCTCAGAGAGGTGAAGTGAGTTGCCCAAGGTCTCCCGGGTAGTTAGGAGTGGATTTGGGCTGTGGTGTTCCAGCATCCCTTTTGGTCCTTAAGCATGTAGCCTTTCCCTGTATTCTCACTGCCACGTATGAGTTATGTACCTTTGGAATTTCTCTGATCCACTAAACCCTCCGTGTGGAAGGACCCAAACGATCCTCCACAGATTCCAGTGTGTCGAATAAAGCCAGGATGCCTCTGGAATTGCATCAGTGCTTAGGGCGGTAGGGCGGAGGAAGCAGGGAGGGGGCGGGAGGTGGTGTGGGGGGAGCACTGTGTGTCATAGGAAGCTGGAAGCTAGCCCCCAGAAGAGATCTTGAGGTGGGGGTGAAAGTCCTTCCTGATGATGTCACCCTGCTTGTCGGCACATGGTTGTTATGGTGATGGAAAGGCCTGGGGGCTGGGGGTTGCCAGTGGGAGGAAATCACCTAACATTTCAGCGTGTGAGAATTTTCTGGATGTGAATGAGCCTAGTTCAGAATGTGTCCCTTTGAGTTAGGCTGGAGACATGTGCAGGGCTTTCTGGTGATTCCATAAGCATGCTGCTCTGAGCTGCTGCTGGGTAGTCTCTGCTTACTCCAGGCCCCGGGGGGGGGGGGGGGGGGCTCCTTAGCAGGGGGTCCCGGCCTCCATCACTGCTGCCTTTGACACCTTCCACCTTCCTCATCCCTCGTTTCAGTCTTGGCCGATTCCCATAGATTTTTACTTGGGAATATGGCCTCTTGCATCCTCTCTCTCATGGCAACCAGGCCCTCATTCCCTTTCTCTCATCAGTCTTCATAAAGCAAAGCAGAGTCAGTCTATGGCCATTTGTGTGTGTGTGTGTGGGGGGGTCTTCCTGAAGTCCTCCCATTTGGGGTGCTGAAAATAGAAGTCATAATGTTACAGCAAATACTCAGCGCCCAGGAAGAGACAAGCCCACGCACTCTCCGGGAATCAGAAGAGACTGTTTATTGCTCACGGGTGCTGGCCCAGCGGAGTCACCTCCAAAGGCTGAGCCCCGAACCTTGGCATTGGCCTCCTTTTATGGCTGGGAGGGTAGGGGGTGGAGAGACAAAAGAAAAAGGGGAGGGGGCCCTTATCAGTGGTGTTATCTGGGCAGTTAGTTGGTGGAGGCAGCAGGCAAACAAGATTAGGAAGCCAAAAGTATGCAAGGGAAGCCTCGGGCATCTGGCTAGCCCCTTTTATCTTGTTTTTACTAGCTTTTCTTCTCAATAAGACCAGCTACTTGTCACCAAAGTGATAGAATAGCCTTTGATTCATTGGAATGGGTTTAATGATAGCAGGAATCCTGTATAATCGTCAGAGGAGGCTTTCCAGGGGTCTGGTTGCTGTCTGGGCCTCCCCCAGACATGGCTTTTCCTACCGTGGTTATGTAGCCACACGCAGTCCTGAGACATTCTGCCCTCCTAGGGTGCTGCTGGAGGCAAGACCCTTAAGCAGGAATGTTCTTTCAGGCAGGTTTTTGAGAAATCCTGTATTATGGGCTGCAGTCTCAGGAATTGCTTGCCACTTCAGCCCTGTCCTCCCTTCTAATAAAGAGGTCTGGGCAAGCGTGCTTTGCCATGATTACGAGCTGATCCTCTGAATTAATTCAAGCGTTCACTGAGTGCCTGCGTCGTGGTGAGCCTGGTGCTAGATGCCAGGGACGCAGCAGTGGACAAGACAGACAGGGCTCCTGCCCTGATGGAGCTTATGGTAGAGTATAAAACAGACCCTACTGAGAAGTGCAGCTGAGGGAGCAGTACACGGTGGTGGTGGCCCGGCCCGGAGCCCAGAGCAGGAGGTGTGGCCTTGTCTCAGGAACTGCAGAAGACACTTTGAATAAGTGACATTTCATCTGAGGTTTGGAGGAGGAGTGAGAGCTGATGGGACAGAGGGCCGAGGGAACAGCATGTTTGAGGACCCTGAGTCAGGGGGAGAGTGATGAACCTGAAGAATTCAGCAAGGCCAGTACAGGTCCAAGAGAGGGTGGGCAGGCTCATCAACCTGATGGGGGAGCCGACGGGTGTGTGAGGTCACTCCCCACCAGGAGTCTGTGGCTGCAGCTCCGGAAAAGAATGCGTGCCCCGCCCCCATCCTAGGGCCTGTCGCCGGACTGTGTGCTTTGGCTCCCCCTGGTGGCTGTGATGAGAACCAGAACCCTAACTTGCTCGGTTGGTGGAAAAGACGCCTGGCTGTGAGTCTGGAAATCGCTTTTGCCCCTTGCTTCCTGCCTGTCCACTTGCTGCCTGGGTTTGCCCTTCCTAGCGAGATGCCTCTGGGCAAGTTACATCTCTGACGGAAGGCCGGTAGGGAGGTCTTTGAGTCTAGAGGACAATGCCATGGTCCGGTCAGGTTTTACAGATTATCTGTGTGATATGATCAGCTTGTTTTTAGCTGGAGTCCTGGGTCACAAAAAAGTGGAGAGAATCCATTTCTGGCTGCAGTTGCATTTTTAGACAAAGTCAAACACCAGAAGAGACAGACTAAAAACAGATGTGGCAGAAGGACTGGTCCCAGAATGGCTCCATGTTGGCAGATGGCTGACTACCCTCCCAGGTGGCAGATGTGGTGGGTTGGGGAGAATCATGTTGTTTTTCAGGGTCAGGCTTTCTTGTTGGAGCAAAGGGTAAATGCATCACAGTGCAGGATCTTGTCAGTAGGTTGTAGTAAATGGGACAATATCAGCTTTTCATGAGTAATGTATGATGTTTTGCCCTCTGATACTTTTGGAAACTTCTAAATATTTTAGGTGGAACAAATCATTTATTACAAATAATTTAAAAAATAGCTCAACAGAAAAATAAAAAGAACAAAAGACAATTTACAGTAGCCACAGGAAATATGAAATATCTACAAATAAATGTAACAAGAAATGTGTGGATCTTTATTTTTATAAAACTTTCAGAATTATAGAAAATAAAATTTTAGTATATAGGGAGACATACCATATTCTTGGATAGAGCAACTCAATATTGTAAAGCTGTCGGTTCTTCCACAATTGATTTATGTACATTAAGACAATTCTAATTGAAATCCCAATGGGATTAAAACATTTCTAAATTTTCAAAATGATTTTAAAGTTCTTGGAGAAGAAGATATGTGAGAGTAAGAGTTTAAAATAATGAGGGCAATTTGAATGTCAACTTATTTAAACATATTATGAAGCTGTATTAACTTTAAAAATGCTACTGGGAGCAAAAATAGACAGCTCAGTGGAACAAAATAGAAAGCTCAGGTACGGACTCAGGTATGGATATAAAAAATTAGTAAGTGATAGAAACTTTTCAAATTAGAAAGATTATGGAATAAATTGAATAAATAGTGCTGTGATAATGGTTCACTACTTGGTAAGAAGTTAAGTTACCTGAGCCATTACACCAAAATAAATCCCAAGAAGATTAGAGTTAAATGTAAATTAATGAAATTTTATGTTAAAAAAAACCTATAAGAAAATGTTGGCGTCTAAGCAAGAAAGCAAAAGAGTAAATCACAAAGAAGACAGTCGATAAATGTGTCTAAATAAATGAAATTACAACATGTAAATCAAAACAAAACAACACAACTCAGAAAATTAAAAACACAATTATAAGACTAGTGATAACTGGCAAAAATATTTGTGACATACGTGGCAGGCAAAAGATTAATACTTTTAATAAGTAAAATGCTCTTAAATAAAATAATGAACCCTTCAATAAAAATAGGCAAGATCTTGAGCAGGCCATGCAAAGAACATTTTTAGTTCTTGTCTGACTTTACTTCTTATCACTGATGGATATATATATATATATATATATATATATATATATATATATATATATATATATATATATATGGTTTTGAGAGTGAGAGAGCGAGAGAGTGCAAGTGTGTGTGCACGCATGCGAGCAAGGGAGGGGCAGATGGAGAGGGAGAGAGAGACTCCTAAGCAGGCTCCACACCCAGGGTGGAGACTGATGCAGGGCTAGATCTTACCATCATGAGAACATGACCTGAGCTAAAATCAAATGTGGGACATTTAACTGACTGAGCCACCCAGGCACTCCACCAAGTTTTGAATTTTAATAAGGTCTAACTTAATCAGTATTTTCTTTCATGGGTTATGCTTTTTGTGGTGTATTTAATAAATCATGACCAAAACCAAGGTCACATAGGTTTTTTTTCTGTTTCCTTCTAAAACTTTTGTAGTATTTCATTTTATATTTAAGGCTATGATCCATTTTGACTATGTGTTTTGCGAAAGGTGTAATATCTCTGTCTAGATTAATTTTTTTTTATACGGATGTTCAGTTGTTCCAGAACAACTTGTTAATTAAGACTTCTTCCATTGAATTGTCTTTGCTACTTTGTCAAAGATCAGTTAGACATCTAGAGAAGATTTATTGGTATTGTATTGAATTTATAAGTCAAGCACCTTAACAATGTTGAGTCTTCCAGTCCATCAACATAGAATCTCTCTCAGTTTATTTAGATCTTCTTTGATATCCTTTATCAGAATTTTGTGGTTCTCTGCATATAGATCAAGTACATATTCTGTTAGATTTAGGCCTAAGTTTCTCATTTATGGGGTACTATTATAAGTGGTATTGTGTTTTAAATTTCTAATTCCAATTGTTCATTGCTGGTCTATAGGAAAGCAGTTGGCTTTTGTATATTAACCTTGTGTCCTGCAACCTTGTTATAATCACTTACCAGTTCTATGAGTTTTTTGTTGATTCTTTGGGATTTTCTACACAGACAGGTCTATCATTTGTGAACAAAATCAGTTTTATTTCTTCCTTCCCAACATGTATATCTTTTATTTCCTTTTCTTGTCTTATTGCACTAGCTGGGACTCCCAGTATCATTCAGTAGGAGTGGTGAGAGGGGATATCCTAACCTCAGCTTTTTACTGCCATCAGTGGCTCACCAGCCACCATCACCTCTCACCTGGCCTATCGTAATGGCCTCCTAACTAGTCCTCCTACTTTCATTTTTGTTCCAAAAAAGTTCCATTTCTGTTTAGTAGCCAGAATGAGCTTTTAGGAATATAAACCAGATCATGTCACTTTCCAGGTTAAGATCATTCCAGAGACCTGCTGCTGCACTGATACTAAAATCTGAACTCCTCAGTTTAATTTATAATCGTTTGTATAATCTACCCCCGACATGCCTAGGTAGCGTCATCTTATAAGAATCTTCCTTTTGGCCTCTAGATGCCAGTCACTCTGGCCTTCTTTCTGTCCTTCAAGTACATTCTGCCTTTTGGCCTTGGCACCAGCTGTTGCCTCTGCCAGGAATGTTCTTCCCACTCATATTGTTGTAGTACCAGTTCTTTCTGGTTATTTAGATCTCAGCCAAAGTGTCACTTTCTCAGAGTGGCCTACCCCATCTGATGTTATACCTAGTCATTCTCTATCTTGTCAGTGGGTTTTAATTCTTGGCATAGCTTTTACTGCTACCTGACTTTGTCTAGTTTCCTTTTTGTTTTTAAATTAATTAATTAATTTTTTATTGTCTGTCTCTGCTCCCTGCTGCCCTCTCCTCTCTGACCCTCCCAGCTGCTGGGATGTAAGCTCCATGAAAGGAGGACTCTGCCTCTTGCGTTCACTGCTGTGTTCCTGGCACCCGCAGCAGCACCGGGCGTGGTGTGGCTACTGAATGGCCCCTTCCTATGTCTCCACCCTGATCCTGAACCAAACAGCTCGCTCTCTCTGCTCTTCAGTCCCCTAAGCACCTTGCTTTTTCCTGCCCTAGAGCCTTTGCATTGTGCTCTTCCTCTGCCCAGAATTTTTACACCCTCCCTCCCTCATTTTGCTGCAACAGCTTCTATTCTTTTTTAAACTCTCAGCTCAATTGTCATTTCTATGGAGAAACCTCCCGTAGTTCATATCACCATCTCTTTCATGGTTCTTTTCATGGTTTGAATTTATATTCATTTGTATGAAGGATAAACTGTCTGGATGTAGCCCCACTTAGCAGGATGGCTTTCTTATACTTGGTGTGTCCAGAACCATATTGAGGATGACGCACGTCCCGCTGGCATGCCACATGTGATGGTAACGTTGATCGCATTTTACTAGAGCGAAATGGATGTGGGGCTGTCACCATTCACACAAAATTTTAAAAAGAAAACTTTACCGGGGCGGCGGTGGGCATCTTTATACTCCATTTTTAAATCCGTCTGAAACCATGGCTTGGAGCCAGCAGAGGAGGCTGTGGCTGTGGATTCCAGTGCAACCATCAACACTGCTATTCGGGCAGTTAAACTTTACGCCCATTCCAAGCTGTAAATGTTAGTCGCACCCCCCCCCCCCCCCCCCCCCCCCCCCCGCCCCATAAAGAGACCATTAACTTAAAAAAAACACATAATGTATAGGATGATCTCAAGTTTATTTTTTTTTGAGAGAGTTTATAAATAAGTTTATTTATTTTGAGAGACAGAGAGAGCACAAGCAATAGAGGGGCAGAGAGAGAGAGAGAGAGAGAGAGAGAATCCCAAGCAGGCTCTGAGATCTGCTCTGAGCCCGAAACAGGGTTTGATCCCACAACTGTGAGATACCTTAGCTGAAATCAAGAGTCGGATGCTTAACCAACTGAGCCACCCAGGTGCCCCTCAAGTTTATTTTTAAAAAATGTGTATGGAGCATCTGGGTGGCTCAGTTCAGCTCAGGTCATGATCTCGAGGTTCATGAGTTTGAGCCTCATATCGGGCTCTCTGCTGTCAGTGCAGAGCCCTCTTTGGAGCCTTTGTCCCCCCACCTGTCTCTGCCCCTCTCCGTTCATGTGTTCTCTCTCTCTCTCTCTCTCAAAAATAAACATTAAAAAAATGTGTTTGGATACATGCAAAAGATCAGAGGTACATACAACAATATGTTAATGCAGATTATCTTTGAATAATGCAATTATGAGTGATTTCTTCTTTGTACTTTTCTATATTTCTCAATTTTCCTATAATGTACACATACTAGTTTTATAGTGAGAAAAGTTATTTTCTTATCTATCCCAACTATATGTTTGTGCTAAGTAAATGAACATGAGGATGTGGTCAGTGGCAGGAAAGGTTCATGAATGAAGACTTGTCGGAGCACTGAGATTGTTGAATTGAGTGTGGAACATAGTGAATGAACATAGTCCATTCCCACCTCAGCCCTTGACAGGTGGGCTGGACCTGGTAATCCTCATAGAATTTGCAAGACCAAGCCGTCCCTGGGCAAAGGCCCATCCCTCAGCAATTTGTCCAGACCACCCTCGGCTGCTCTAAGCAGCTACTTACAGTTCTTAGATTCCTTTGTCACTTGGCTTGACCCACCAGTTCTCATACCCACCTTAGGTCCGTTTGCTTGGATGGCCACTGTGGCCGAGAGTCTTGTCTCTTTCCCTTGACTCTGATTTAATTTTAGCTTTTGGACTCAAAGCACTACAGCTTTGGTTCAAAGCCTCCTGGCCTCTCTGTGGTGCTGAGGGCTGCAATGCTTTTTGTTGGGAGCCTAGGATATTGTCTGACACATAGTAGATGTTCAATAAATGTTTGTACGGTGCACAAATGGTGATCCCTGGAGAAGTTGGCAGAAGGAAAACAGGAGTGCGTTCATTGTCTGGGTGGCCTACGGTGTGAGCGATGGAACAGATGAAGAACAAGGAATATATTTTTGTCCAGCAGATTAGATACAATAATTTGAAATGAAACAGTCGTCAAATGTATAAGTTCATATACTGGGATGTTTGGGAAGAAAAATTATGAAAATGATGACTTTGTAGTACCATGTATTTAACTGAATCTTCAAGTTAAAAAATTCTGTGTATTTTCATTTGTATATAATAGGATATAACACACACACACACACACACACACACACACACACACACATACAATATGTTCCTTATTTGGTCCTTATTTTGTTCTTTCTGTCAAAGCCAGTAATTCAAGATAGTTACAACAGAGGGCAGAATTGTGTAAGTAATTTAAACACCTTTTTATTCTTGCCTGACAATGCCCCCCAAGTTCAAATTGCAGCATTATATAGACTGCACTATAGAAATACTCTTTGACTCTCTGGTTTTCAAATTTTACATATCAAAAGATCATTTAAAAGCATTAGAGTTGTTGTTTATGTCATTGTTTGAAATACTTGGTAATATATGTAAACATTAATAAAAGCAAAGAGCTAATCCCTTGAGAGAGAAATACTGAAGTGTGGATAATGTGTTTAACTCCTGTGTCAAGATTAAGTATTGGATGCTCTTTGTTCCTTTCTGAATATGCTTTAGGTTTATTTACCTTTCTTTCCATTCTAGTGCTGGAATGCAGGCTGTTTGAGGTTACCACCATGGACAAATGCCGATTAATGTTCTTTATTGCGAAATTTCTGAAGCTTATGGGCAAGATCAATGAAGCAGAAGGATTATTCTTGACTGTCGAGAACATGTTAGTGCAGGTAAAGTGGGAAATCGCTTTATTTTTTTATTTTTTTAATTTAAAAATTTTTAATTTTTCATATAATTTATTGAATTTACATCCAAGTTAGTTAGCTTATAGTGCAACAATGATTTCAGGAGTAGATTCCTTAGTGCCCCTTACCCATTTAGCCCATCCCCCCTCCCACAACCCCTCCAGTAACCCTCTGTTTGTTCTCCATATTTAAGAGTCTCTTATGTTTGGTCCCCCTCCCTGTTTTTATATTATTTTTATTTCCCTTCCCCTATGTTCATCTGTTTTGTCTCTTAAAGTCCTCATATGAGTGAAGTCATATGATATTTGTCTTTCTCTGATTGACTAATTTCGCTTAGCATAATACCCTCTAGTTCCATCCATGGAGTTGCAAATGGCAAGATTTCATTATTTTTGATTGCCGAGTAATACCCCATTGTCTATGTATACCACATGTTCTTTATCCATTCATCCATCGATGGGCATTCGGGCTCTTTCCATACTTTGGCCATTGTTGATAGTGCTGCTATAAACATGGGGGTGCATGTGTCCCTTCGAAACAGCACACCTGTATCCCTTGGATAAATACCTAGTAGTGAAATTTCTGGGTTGTAGGGTAGTTCTATTTTTAATTTTTTGAGGAACCTCCATACTGTTTTCCAGAGTGGCTGCACCAGCTTGCATTCCCACCAACAATGCAAAAGAGATCCTCTTTCTCCGCATCCTTGCCACATCTGTTGTTGCCTGAGTTGTTAATGTTAGCCATTTTGACAGGGGTCAAGTGGTATCTCATTGTGGTTTTGATTTGTATTTCCCTGATGATGAGTGAAGTTGAGCATTTTTTCATGTGTCGGTTGGCCATCTGAATTTATTCTTTGGAGAAGTGTCTATTCATGTTGTTTGCCCATTTCTTCATTGGATTATTTGTTTTTTGGGTGTTGAGTTTGATAAGTTCTTTATAGGTTTTGGATACTAACCCTTTATCTGATATGTCGTTTGCAAATATCTTCTCCCATTCTGTCGGTTGCCTTTTAGTTTTGCTGATTGTTTTCCTTCGCTGTGCAGAAACTTTTTATTTTGATGAGGTCCCAGTAGTTCATTTTTGCTTTTGTTTCCCTTGCCTCTGGAGACGTGTTGAGTAAGAAGTTGCTGTGGCCAAGATCAAAGAGGTTTTTTCCTGCTTTATCCTTGAGGATTTTGATGGCTTCCTGTCTTACATTGAGGTCTTTCATCCACTTTGAGTTTATTTTTGTGAATTGGGTAAGAAAGTGATCCAGGTTCATTCCTCTGCATGTCGCTGTCCAGTTTTCCCAGCACCACTTGCTGAAGAGATTGTCTTTATTCCATTGGATATTCTTTACTGCTTTGTCAAAGATTAGATGGCCACTAATGTTTGTGGGTCCATTTCTGGGTTCTCTATTCTGTTCCATTGATCTGAGTGTCTGTTTTTGTACCACTGCCATACTGTCTTGATGATTACAGCTTTGTAATACAGCTTGAAGTCTGGGATTGAGATGCCTCCTGCTTTGGTTTTCTTTTTCAAAATTGCTTTGACTATTCGGGGTCTTTTCTGGCCCATTAAGGATGATGTTAGCATTGGGTCGTTCATATATGGCTTTTATGATCTCGAGGTATGATCCTTCTATCCCTACTTTCTTGAGGGTTTTTATCAAGAAAGGATGCTATATTTTGTCAAATGCTTTCTCTGCATCTATTGAGAGGATCATATGGTTCTTGTCCTTTCTTTTATTGATGTGATGAATCACATTAATTGTTTTGCAGATATTGAACCAGCCCTGTATCCCAAGTATAAATCCCACTTGGTCGTGGTGAATAATTTTATTAATGTATTGTTGGATCCGGTTGGCTAATATCTTGTTGAGGATTTTTGCATCCATGTTCATCAGGGAAATTGGTCTGTAGTTCACCTGTTTAGTGGGGTCTCTGTCTGGTTTTGGAATCAAGGTAATGCTGGCCTCATAGAAAGAGTTTGGAAGTTTTCCTTCCATTTCTATTTTTTGGAACAGCTTCAAGAGAATAGGTGTTACTTCTTCCTTAAGTGTTTGGTAGAATTCCTCTGGAAAGTCATCTGGCCCTGGACTCTTGTTTTTTTGGCAGATTTTTGATTACTAATTCTATTTCTTTACTGGTTATGGGTCTGTTCGAATTTTCTATTTCTTCCTGTTTCAGTTTTGGTAGTGTATATGTTTCTAGGAATTTGTCCATTTCTTCCAGATTGCCCATTTTATTGGCATATTTGCTCATAATATTCTCTTATTATTGTTTTTATTTCTGTTGTGTTGGTTGTGATCTCTCCTCTTTCATTCTTGATTTTATTTATTTGGGTCCTTTCCTTTTTCTTTTTGATCAAACTGGCTAGTGGTTTATCAATTTTGTTAATTCTTTCAAAGAACCAGCTTCTGGTTTCATTGATCTGTTCTACTGGTTTTTGTTTGTTTGTTTGTTTTCTAT